ATAAATTTTCTACTTTTCTTATTTTTACTGATTGTGTGGATGTTTACCCAAACCTTGTCCCCAGGTTGGAAGTATAGAGGTCGTTGACGACAGTCAAAATTTGCTTTCGGTTGATCCTGTTTGCATTCGACTCGTTCTTTGATCTGGACTCTTAGACTAGCAAACCTTTTTAGGCATGGTGTTATCTCAGGCACAAAGTTTCCATTTTTAATGACAGCTCTAACATCATGATTAACGTCATCTGTGGTTTGAAGTTCCCTTCCAAACTGTAAATAGGCGGCGGTGTGCCCTTTTGTATCACATTTTGTTGTGTTCATGGCGAAACGTATCAGGGATAGTTTTTTTTCCCACGTATCATGCGAGTCACCAACAAGAATGGCTAGTCTCGGTTTAAGATCTCTATTTTTTCTTTCAGAAGGATTTGCTCGAGGGTGATATTCAGGTGTCAGGTCTTGCTTAATATCAAGTAAATCGCAAGTTTGTTGTATAACAGCACTGTCAAATTGCTTACCGTTATCGCTGATCAACCTCCTGGGTAAACCGTAACGTAAGTAAACTTCTTCTACTAATGTTTTAGCACAATTTGCAGCTGTGGCTTCCTGTAGGGCACAGAGTTCCACCCATTTTGTACTGGTATCTTCGATTAGAAAGATCCATCTTTTCCCTGTAGGAGTTTCTGGAAATGAGCCAAAAAGGTCGATTGCAAGAGTCTCAAACCTCTGAGCGTGAATCGGTTTTCGAAGTAATCCAGCTGGTTTCTGGTTCGTAGGTTTGTATCGATTGCATTATACACACGTTTTGATGTAATCAGAGATGTACTGTCTCATTCCAGAGAAATAGTATCTGGAAGCTATCTTGTTTTAAGTGCGTTCTACACCATACACTCTAAAAACTGTACCTTTGATTTCAGAGGCACATTTGAATCATTTGTGCCTCTGAATTTTAAGGGCACAACGTACCTTTATAAATGAAAGGCACAATGTACCTCTGATTTCAGAGGCAAAATCAGATGTACCTCTTAACTTGGAAGGTACATTGTACCTTAGATTTTGCTTTTATGTACCGCTCATTGAAACAAGCATTCAGTGGTACCAAAACCTGTTATTTACCAGATTTGAAC